TATATATATATATATATATGATAGTGTCTATCATGTGCACAACTGCCTAGACTGAGTAATAAGCAGGAAATTACTTTTACTTATATGTTTCTGTCTCTGTGTGTGCATGTCATATGAATACAGTGCCCTAGGAGGCCTGAAGAGAGTGTTGAATCCCTGGAGCTGGAATTACAGGCAGTCAGGAGTTCCATGTGATGCTGGAAACCAAAATCTGCTCTTCTAGAAGAGCAGCCATGTCTCCAGCCTGAGGAATTACTTTGAAACTAGTAGCTAACACTTAGATTTCACAGTGTATACCTGATACTGTTCATTGTGTTTTTCATATAATTTATTTAATCTTCATACCAACAAAACCCCAAGTTCTATTCACTCTCAATCTGTTTTTTAAAAAGTCATTCAAAGAATAAACCTCAGGGCCGGGAGTGTGGCTCAGCAATGGAGTACTTACCTGATATGTGTGATGCCCTGGATTCAAATCTTAACACCACCAGAAAAAGCTAAAAAAACAGAACTTACTTGAGAGGGTAAGGCATGGCACTTACTGCAAGACTGAGGCCAGCCTGGGCTACACAGTAAGTTACAGGTCAGCCTGGGCTACAGAATGAAACTCTGTCTCAAAGCAAACAAAAATCATGTCTTAAAAAATTAAGACTTTGAAAAGTGCTAAAAGATGAGCATATGATACCACTTGGCAATAATCATACTCACCAGATATAAGAGAGCTCCGGGATGGAGAGCTTTGATTTGGTGAAGAAGTTCTTGGCCACAGACCCTGTCAAAAGCCATTGTTTAAATAAGCCATCAGTTCCTTGTCTGGAGCACCTTTTATGTGCAAGCCTATCACCACTTTTTCATTCAGCAATCTCTACCAAATAACCACAAATGCATTTAGTCTACAAGAAACAACAAATCACAGGACTTTCCTAAGAGTAGCATGTGACTTGCCTAGCACCTCTGAGGGCCAAAGACTTATCTGCGTTGTTGCAAAAATGAGAAAAATACAATTAAAAGGAATATCAAACATGTAGAAAGAAGCAATGGCAAAATGCTCATGACAAATACAAGCCATATAAATTCCTGCTTGGCTTCTACCAAAACTGCACACTTATACTAAAATTTCCTAAGAAAACCTTCAAAATTGCTTAAGTAAAAATTATGTTGAGTTTTATACTTAAAGAATGGAAAAGCAATGCAGAGTGTGGAAAAATGATGAACACAAAAAAAAATGGTATCAATAATCCCATCAGAAACAAGAGAGACATCTTGAGAAATATTTTTATGAGATTTAAGATCTCTTGATGGCACTTTGAAGAATCCATCCAGGACTCTTTTCATTGTAAATTTACCTATGTCAGTTAAAGTTGAGCTGCCATCCCACTGTCCCAGCTGTACTTGAAATGTTAGCCTTCACTGAGCTCTTTCAGGCTTCCAGCTCTCGGTAGCTTCACAATTCAAAAGCCTCATTTCTAATACAAGAGAGCATTAAAGCACCAAGTTGTTCTAAGCTAAGTCAAAAGCCTCCCAGAGCAATTACAAATTTTCTAATTGGCCTTAAAGCAATAGGAATAGGTGGGAATCTAGCTGGTAGCTGAGTACTTGACTGCCATATGCAAAGCCCTGGATTACAAGCCCCAGCACTATAAAAACAAACAAAAAGCAGGCCAACCATGGCTTGCACACCTTTAATCCCAGCACTCAACAGATAAGCAGGCAGGTCTCTGTGAGTTCAAGGCTAGTCTGGCCTACATAGCAAGTTCCAGAACAGCAAGGGTTACACAGCAAGACACTGTCTCAAAAATAAAACAAATAAACTAAATAAACTAAAATAAAATAAAATAAATTTTCAAAGGGGTTATAATGGATCTTAAAGAAATACTTTTTTTCTGATAAATTATTAAGGATCAAAAGCAAAGTATCAATAAGCCAACAAGCCTTCTCCCCAAAGGCATCCTGTCAATAATGCTAACACGTGACTCTTTGCTACCAAGGCAACCAACCACCTTGTGCCACCTGACAGACAAAACTTGTCAGCCAATTTATCAAATATACTATAGCAACCAAGATACAGAGACATTCCCTTCTCCTACCAGTCTGTTTTCTGCTGGATCCTCTCTCTTCAAAGCACAGTAGACCCCACCCACTAGCTAGTGCTGGCTTTCACATAGGAGACTATTGTACCATAGAGTCTCTGAAAAGTTAGGTGGAAGGCACTGGGAAGCTGATAGCTATCAAGTTCAGCTGCATCCCAGGTGCCAGCAGCTAAAAAAGGGAGCTAAGGAAAAAGCCCAGTGTTCTCTCCTTTGAATGCAACAAGTGAGACATGTTCAGGTACTTTCACTCCAGCTCCACCATCAAGCCACCAGAAAAGAGACTCCATGTATATAAAAAGCCCAGAATATATAAGTATGGAGAAGAAAAGTGCATTAATAGTGTCCTAGAACCATGAAGTGGAGAAGACAGGAGTAAGCAGCAACTGTTACTAAGTGGGAAGATAATAGAGGGGTGATGAAAAGGTTCTAAATTTAGGTTATGAATCTAGTCTGTGAACGAACTAAAATCACTGAACTATATGGTTTAAATGTTGTTTATGATATATGAATTGTATCTCAACTAACATGTTTATTTTAAAAGACATCAACTAAATGTCATTTATGAATCTTCATTGTGGTCAAACTAAACATTAAAAAGAAACTTAGAAGACAATCAGACAAATTTGAACAATGAAGACCTGATTGTATTAAAGAATCTGTGACTTTTTTCTCACATGTACCAGTGAGTTCTGCTTATGTTTTTTTAAGAGAACAAAAGATATATCCTGGAATATTTTTCAAATCAAATGGCTTCAAAATCATCAAGGCTGAGAGGGAATAAAAACAAAATTGCTGGCACTTGTCCATGGGGATTTGCTATAGTGGCAAATCAAGTTAATCTACACTTGAAATTTCGCAAAAATAAAAAGGTTGAAAGAAAATGTAAAAAAACACTTCTAACAACTACTTATTCACAGTTGGCTAAATGTCTGCATATGTTTAAGAAGAAGTAGTTGATCAAGAGGTAAGGTTACCCTGCTGTCAATATACATAATCTGGATTTCTGCTTGTCTTTTCTAAATCATAATGGTAAAATTCATTTGTGATTTCTATACTACTCTACCTTACATAATGCCATTACTACCAATCACCAAAATAATGTTTGCCTTTACATATATAAGAATATATCAATTATATATGTTATTTCATAGAAATTACTCTTAATCCATGCTTCACTGTTAGTTAGAATGATCAAAAACATACTGTTATTTCTCTAAAATTGAAGTATAAGACGAAAGTTTTATAAATTTTTCTTCTGGACTCTACTATTTCACTGTTTAGTCTTTTGCCTGGTAAAATGTAGGCACATGGGAATTAAATCAATTCTTCTCAGCTTGAATTTTACATAAGGGCACAACAGGAATGCAGATATCCGATGATAACCCAGAAGAACTGACTAAGAAAATGCTGACCAGTTTTCTTCTCATATCCTAATTTCAAAAACCAGGGAAGAAAGCCTGGAGCCAAATAAATGAGCATGTACCTAAACTTCTAGGGAACATAAAACATGAGGAGACCTGTGCTGGAAGACTATACTTTGTCTTTGCTCTGACTCTGATACAATAAATAAGCAATTTAAGGTGTCCCTTGGCACTGTCATCTGCTATTCCAAGTGCTTTGGCTGAGAAGGTGCAGGGTCTGGACCAAGTTCCCCCAAATTCCCATTTAACCCTTCTGCAATGGCAGTATAATTTTCCCAGGTCATTACCATTCTTTTCTGCATACATATATTTGGTAAGAAGTTCCACCTTAGAGGAATACAAATTGAAATCAGAGGTTGTAATCTTCATTTTTCATCAACTGCTTCTCAAGATGTTCTCCATTATTCACACGGGAACCCTGTTCCAGGACACCATGTTCTCTCACCTGAAATGAAGGAACTTGGGTCTGGCTGGAGGGAGCGAAACTGATTGACATAGTACTCCCGCTGTTCTTCTGTTATCCTCCAGGGCTCATCTGGGTAATTACTGTTGTTGTCCTGCAGTTCTCTCTCCACTGAAAAGGACTTTAAAAACAGTGCTCACAGAACCTTCCTTTCATGAGATGAGGTGTGAGACTTAAACACCAATGGGAGTTACTTTATATTTCTCTTTATTTTTCCTCAGGGAATAAACATAACTGCCTCATAATAAGAATTTAACCAAAATCTAAACTATGATATAAAGTATATATCAAGCTTGTTTTACATGTCAATCCCAGTTCCCTCTCCCTCCCCTCCTTCCCTGCATCCCACCAACTAACACCCTACCTATCCCATCCCCTTTCTGCTCCCCAGGCAAGGTGAGGCTTTCCATGGGGGATCTTCAAAGTCTGAAAAACAATTCTTATCTTCAGCTATTCACCATATTTTGATACTTTCAGATTAGATAAGTGGATAGGAAAATTGTATGTTTTTTCACAAGTATGTGTGGTGGCACATGTATGTGGAGGCCCAAAGCTGATATGAGGAGTCCTCAATATGTTACCACCTCATGCATTGACACAGGGTCTCTCAACTGAACCTTGAGCTCTCTATTAAGGCTAGCCTAGCCAGCCAGCTTATTCCCAGTCTCCACCTTCCAAGCACTAGAATTGCAGGCAGGCTACCATGTCCAGCTGAGCATCTCCCTAGCCTGATTTTCTTCTGCTCTGCACAGAACGTAAGGCAACAGCTATAACCACACAGTGGTTTTTCTTGTCTTTTTCTTTTTTTGAGACTGGGTCTCACACTGTAATCCATGATTGCCTAGAACTTAATATGTAGCCAAAGATGGCACTAGATTTTCTGTAATCCTGACTCATGCTCCTGGGTGCTGAGGTTATGGGGTGAGTTATAATAAGTGGGTTAATATTTTCTTTATTCCTGCCGTACTTGCATTACATAAATCCAGGAGTCAAAATTCCCAGTCAAACTCATGCCTTCTGGTTCCCACTTGAGCAGCAAGTCAGTCTCACTGAATTTGTCCTTCACATGTGTGAGTTGGGAATATTTACTAAATACAAAGCTGATGATAAGATCTATTGTGGTATTGCCATCAGCAGGGTAACAAGGGGGTGCAGCAAATCTGCCACTAGAGGGCAGGCACACCAAATTTGAAGATTTGAGAGTTCAGAAGTCCAGAGACCCAATACAGGAGAAAACAAAAGCTAGACTAGGCTTTGAGGACAGAAGCAAAATGGAAATGCAGAGAGAAACATCTGGGGCTTTGCTCCATCCCTCCCATCTACACCAAGAACATATATTTTTACCAAAGGCCATGTACATGGAATCAAGAGGTGGCCACAAGGAAGACAAAAGGAAACAGGTGGGAGGAGGTTACCACTGCAGAGATATCTCCTTGCTAACTGCTGAACTGCTGCATTCCCTGCTACTAAATGGAAGCTCCTGCTCCCCTGGAGTGCATTCCTTCTCTGGTGAGAATGAAGCCACCCTAGCCAGTAACTGTTCACTTTAGCCACAGCTGTTCTTTCTCCAATCTCATAAGCAACTACTTTCTTCCCTATCTGTATGATTTCATGCCTGGGTAGTGTTAGTAGCTTTTTAATAGTCCTCAGTCTATTCTCCAGGACCAAAAACCAAGCCTACGAGCTTATTGGTTGCTTATCAAAATAGTCCACCTCCTCTACTTGACCCTCAAGACTCTCATACTCCAAGCTACTCTTTGCTCACTTGGTAGGTTTCCAACTACCCATGTGCTCACGTGTCTGATGGACCAAACTTAGCTCTTTCTTCCCAAGAAACTCTTCCCCTAGTGCCAACCTAATCAAATCCTCCCCTTCCCCATATCCTTCTGCTCCAAAAGGTCATCTCCATCTCTCTACCATGCCCACACCCATGCTCACACTGGCAACACAGTCTATTACAAAAGAAAGATCAGCAGCCATGTGTGGATGAATGACCTGAATCATACCTGGTATCATCTGGCCAGGTTGGAATAATAGTGGGTGGGCACACAATACACTGGCCTCTGAGATGCTTTGGCATAGAAAGTTCTTTTACTGAAAGAACAACTTTTGTGATATGTTCATTCTTAAAGATATAAATAATAAATATGTAGACCATCAAGCAGAGAAAGCAAAACCTGAACATATATACACAACCAAGCCAGGATTCAGAGCAAGGGCTAGGCATAATTTAAAACTATGAAAAGCCAGAAGAATCTGTGAAATTGGGATGGAAGTGATATTGAGAAAGGAGTGTGGTGCATGCCTATAATCACTGCAAACAGGAGGCTGAGAAAGGGGATCATGAGTTCAAGGCCAAGCTTGGCTGTATATAGAATTCAAGTTCTACATAGTAATACTGTATCTCAAAAAAAATAAGAGTAAGCAATAAAAGAGTAGTAAGGTTGAGTGGAGCAGGGGAGAAACAGGGATCTAAAAGACCCATAATGGAAGAAGTAGTACAAAGAGCAAGAAGAGAAGCTGTGTCTGCAAATGCTAACTGATTAGAACTGCAGGACTGTGGAGACCGGAATGTTGCAGGTCCAAAGGCTAGTTATCTTATCTTGGGCTAAATTCTAACCCTCCAGAACAGCTATCCCTTGCTCACCACCTTTGTGTCAGAACTGACATCTTAGGACTAATAGTTAAAACCCTTTTGAAATCTATTTAATTATCAGACCACAGTTTTTACCAATCCAAAAGCTAGGAGTGTCAACAGATAACATCTTAGTCCTATAGAAATACTTCCCCCATCTTGCTGTATCTGCTTCTAGGATGTACCCACTAATGTATTTGAAACTTGCCTTTATTTATGGCTTTCTTTGTTCTGTAAAACTATGAAAACATCACAAAACTGTTCCAATGTAAGAACACGGAATTTGAGGTAACATAAATCTGTGTTCCATGTTCTCAGGCCATGGCTACTCAAAATGGCTACAGAATAAACTACCTTCTTATTCTCTTAAAAAAAAACAACAACACAGATCTCCATTCCTACAAGATGCTCATCAAGTAAGAGATGACAGTTTGATCCCCAGAGGCCACATGGTGGAAGGACAGAACTGATGCCAGAGTTGTCCTCTGACCTCCACACACATGCTCTCACACATACACACATAGTTAAATAAATGTTTAAAAAGAAAAAAAAAACTTCTAAAGGGAACTCCAGGGCTGTCAAGATGGCTTGGTGTGGTAAAGGTGCACGCTGACATGCCTGACAACCAGAGTTAGATCCTCAGGACCAAGCTAGTAAAAGAAAGGAACCAAACTAGCTTTTTCTAGTTACCCTCTGACATCTACATCTGCACTATGATGACATGAAGACACACACACACACACACACACACACACACACACACACACCAATTTTTAAAGGAAATAAAAACCACTGAGTTACTCTACTCCTGGTATCTTTTTTTTTTTACTCCCATGAGAACCCAAATGCCTCATTTCTAAGACAGCATAAGGTGGCAAGGAACATTCTTAGTTCCTAGGATCAACACAAAAGGCCTAACAACAAAGGGAGGGCATCTGAACACTATGATCCTTCAGTAACCTGCATTAAACCTGCTAGCCTGTGCCCATCATTTCCACCTTGTTTACCAATGTATATTTCAATTGATTTTACAAACTAAATGATTTCAAGATCTCTTTAAGAAATACTATTTGATGATAACCATGGTGAATACTACATAGTTTGGGCATTTCAAATAATTTTAAGTATCATTGCAAGATTTCAAGAGCTAGAACTCTGCCAAATCACGCTTATCCTATGTACAGTGCTAGCAAATATATGAGATATACAAGAGTACGCCAAGTCTACTTTTAGTAATGAACTTAAATTAACCCCTGAGCTTGTCTTATACTGCAACAGATATGGAAACACTCACAGCTCTATATTATTCTCCTTTTTTCATATTTCCAAATTCATGTGTATGGGTGCTTTTCCTGCATGTACATCTATGCACGTTTTTCCTCAGAGGCCAAAAGAAGGTTTTGGATACCCTGAGACTGGAATTACAGACGTTGTGTACCACCATACTGGGAATAAAACTTGGGTCCTCTGGAAGAACAGCCAGTACTCTTAACTCCTAAGCCATCTCTCTAACCCCTCTATACAATTTTAAACGAAAAAAAACCCTTTTCCTACTACTGGGTTGCCTCTCCCAACCTAGTCTTATTGTATCTTGTTATGTCATATTTGGTTGATATCCCTGGGAGACCTGTTCTTTTATTAAGGGAAATAGAGAAGGAATGGATCTGAGGGAGGGGGGACTGAGAGGAGTAGAGGGAGAGGAAACTGGGATCGGGATGTATTTATGAGAGAAGAAGAAACCTGTACAAAGTATGTATGTATATATATTTTTAATGAAGTTACACCACTTGGGGTGATAATGTTCCTCCCAAAAGCCATGCAAGGTATGTAAATTGTTTGTCAGGGGAGTTGAGGAACACTTCCAAAACAAAATAGGCTTTTGCCATTGCCCTTAGTTATCTCCCGAATTTGAAGGTAAGACCCTATTGCTGAAGACACCACACATTTGTGACATTGGAGAAATGAAGCTGTAAGGGACCTACAAGCCTCCTCCCTGAGGACTATCTCTCTTGGGACCAGAAGATGATATGCAAACTGCCAAAGGAGAAAAGCAATCTAACCAGTTGTGATGTCTATGAACCATGACAATGACCAGAATGGCAAAATATCCTGAACGATATAATAGTGGTGCTCATATCCTGAGGATACCAACAGCTTTGTAATTAAACCTAAGTCCCACTCAATAGGAGGGAATTAATGTCTGGTACTACAAACCTAGCCAATTACCCATGGCTGGTGAGGCAATGGAACCTGGAGGAAAACCTACTACTGCCTCTTTCCTAAACAAGTATAATTCCTAACTGTATTGTAAATATTTATCCTTATGCCCACAGATAAGTGTAGTTCTCACCCTTTATCAAAGAAGCTTCTTTTTGCAGCACATAGAGACCATCACAGAAAGCCACAACTACTCAAATGCAGAGAACAACTGAATATGAGGTGTCCAGACCTGCTGATAAATCTACAACACACTCCTCTACTGAAGG